ACAGGCAAGTCCCAGCCCTGGGTCCACGCGGTGGAAATCTTCGCATAAAACGCTTCGAATGACAGTTCTTGGATGCTTTAGAGACTTTGGATGTCATTAGGCCACAAATAATTTCAAAGGCATTATGGGTGATCACACAACAAGCCTCATAAACTATACTCACGAGGGCAAAGTAAGGGACGGCACAAAGGCTGCAGTTTAATTAATAGCCGGATTTCCTTCATGCGAAAGCTGTGGCTGTCCAGTAACAAGTATGCTAAAGTAAGCCTGCATGCATACGTATTCTCCGACCAGGGGGGGGGGCGGAATGTGCGGGGGCGAAATATCAGGTCGGCAACCGTCCATGACCTCAGTCGGCTTGAGTTGGTCATGCTGGTAGTAGATGGTAAAGGGGGGGAACGGAGACCGATTTTACACGAGCTCTCTACGCCGCCATAAATCTGTACGAATTATTTCGGCACTTTGCGCCTAGTAGTTTGGAACGTTAGGAGCTGGTGTGCTAACACAGTCATTGGAACTGAGAACCAACCTAAAATGACTCCCTTTCAACGTGTCTATATGGTAGCATTAGTTTATATTGATACCGAAGGGACTGAAGTCTATTTTACTCGATTTGAGGGACCAGCGCATACTAGCACGGAACTAACGCCTTGTCAGCTATTGTGTCAAGTCCTATCTTTTGACGTCTTCACCTAACCTTCCAGTTAGAATAAGATGCAGGTAAAACGACAGAGTGAGGTCAATATTGTTGAAGACCTTTTCACAGTATTGCTGCCCGTGAGGAGCTCGCCAGAGTGATGGTCCTCGACTTGATTGTGGTGAATGGAAGATGTGCAGACTGAATCTGAAAATGCTCCTTATGATTTGCTTTTGAACAAGTGTTTTAACACATTATGCTTCTAGATCCGTTATGGAAAAGCAAAATGATAAAGGATCATTAGTCTTAACTAAAGGAGCCTAATCGTGCCACAAAAGCAATCCAATCCTATAAAGTACGGTGGATGGACATCGATGGATAAGATACACCTTAAGAATTTAAAGAAAGCGTATTCAGTGGGATTTATCCGTACAAAATAATTTCACGACGGCTTTCCCATTGCTACCCGTCTTTGAATGAGATAGATAAAGAAGGGGAATACGCAACAGTTTGAATTTGCACAGAAATCAATGCATAACAGAAAGGTCACTGGAACAGGTCTGCAACTTTTTCCTATTCATGTCTCTGATGAATCCACGACCGATGTCGAAACTTCAGGCGAATAAACATATTGTCCCAGCGATCGAGTCTTCTTCTTCTACTTCTTCTCAAAAAGGTCACTGTTAAACGCGGCGAATAATCAATAATAATTTTGCCTTTAAATTTGAATACAAGAAGGAAAAGGGGAGAAGGTAGTTAACAAAAATCAAACGGTGATTAAATCTAGGCCC